AAATAGCTTCTAAATTTTGTCCTGAGTTTAGAAATACCCAATGTTAACATGTTCTTAGCTTTTTTTCCTCCAAGTTAAAGGGCTATAAGTACAAGTAGGACATAAATATATATATTTAAATGTATCAATAGTGACATTGTAACACTTATCTGTCATAAATCTCTAAATCACACCTCACATGTAAATCATTTTTTAAAGTAGACAACCCAGTGTATTCAAAATGGGGTATGTCCAGTCTTTTTTAGTAGCCACTTAGTCACAAACACTGGCCAAAGCTGGCATTTATATTTGTTTGTGTGTTAAAAATGCAAAAAAAAATTATAAATGCTAACTTTGGCCAGTGTTTGTGACTAAGTGGCAACTAAAAAAGACTGGACATACCCCATTTGCAATACCTTCGGTTGTCTTCTTTTGCAAATGGTATGCCATCATGGGGGCATTTCTCATTCCTGGGCTACCATACGCTCTCGAAAGCAACATAACCAATTTGGCAAATTTCAATGTGAAAAAACAGAACATCAAGCCTTATATTGACCCTGTAACAAAAACGCTATAAAAACTGTACATGGGGGGTACTAGTATACTCGGGAGACTTCACTGAACACAAATATGACTTTTTTAAAACAGTAAAACATATCACAACAATGATATCATCAGTAAAAGAAGTAAGCACCTATATAGGATAAGACTCACACAATGTAGAGCCATCCCAAGCTCTATATGATGGGCATGCGCAGGAGTGTGCCTAAACAGGCTATAGCGACATCCTGGATGTTGAGCAGCACAGGAATCAGATATGGTAAAACTAACATTTATTGGGCATGGTATTGTTTTACCATATCTGATTCCTGTGCTGCTCTCCATCCAGGATGTCACCGTAGACTGTTTAGGCACCCTGGGAAGGGAATCATCCTAATTAGAAATACAGACATTTTGGAAGAATAAGCATCAGATATATGTGATGTCCAGGTGCTAAGCCAGGGGTTGGCAACCTTCGGAACTCCAGATGTTGACAACCACATCTTCCATAATGCTCTTATAGCTGTGTTGGCAAAGGATCAGGGGAGATGTAGTCCACAACATCTGGAGGGCAAAGGTTGCCTACCCTTGTGCTAGGCTGTATAGGGCGTTCTGGACCTCCGTGAATTTGCTTATAATAATGTCTTGATGGGATGACGAAGGCCACTAATGACAGAGATAATGACAAAATATGTATGTATTTGAGTGGATATGGCTCATGATAAAAAAAGACAACACAATATAGAATATGTTGAATACTGACACAATACTGGACAGAGTAGTGAACAGAACTATGTGTATAATGTTCTATTTAGGAGCTTTTTGTATTTGAAATACAAATAAAGAATTAGAAAAGATCAGTTGTGAAGAATAGCTCATCCGACAAAAGAAAAATGTTTTTGTGTCTGAACTGTATCAATCATAATGTATCAGATGCTCAACAATTTTCTAGGAACCATTCTGAGTTTATGTACCCTGACACAGGAAAATGTGTTGATATTTTATGCTATTTTTTCTTTTAGTTGTGTGTTATTTTGGAGCCAATGCAAGAATTAATGTCCAGACATAAAACATACAATCTAAGCCCTCGGGACTGCCTGAAGACATGCCTATTTCAAAAATGGCAGAGGATGGTTGCTCCACCAGGTATGTCTTTGTCTATGTTTATATATTCAGTTCCAGACAGGTGTTACCTATAGCTAATTTTTTTTCAAACTAAATTTAAATACTACATATGACATACATGCTTGTGAACTCCATAAATGTGCCCTGTAGAGTCAGGTAATCATGTCTCAATATGTGCAATTGTTTCTGGCATAATAAAAACCTAAAAGCTATACCAGCATCCTACCCAAACATATATTACATTGTCCTCATAAATCTCCAAATACAGAACCTGTTCCTGTCTCTGTTTCATATGATGATGCAATCATGGGGCAAGGATGGTCTGCAATACTGACCTATAAATATTATTTCCTTAATATATTTTCTATATCTAGCAGAGCTTTCTTATAACTGGTTTAGACACCAAAGTATCCCTTTGAAAACGAGCCAAACCTCTAATGGCCAATGAATACTCAGGCTCACTGGCTATGTGTTCTCTTTGACTCCAACCTCTCCTTCATGCCTCATGTTCAGTTTATCGCCAAATCCTGCCGCTTCCATCTCAAAACCATTGTGCGCGTCCGACCCTACTTAATGCCAGATGTGACTAAGGTGCTGGTCCATTCCAATGTCCTTTCTTGACACAGGACTACCTCAACATAGTTAAAATCGGAACTGTCATGGCCGAATACCGTTTTTAATTCCCCCTCCCGACTCCACTACATCTAACTGTCCCCGTAGTCACCCCAAAATGCCCCTAAGCCCCTCATATTACCTATATTTTTAATCTTTATTTCATGCCTGGTCCTGGGCACCGCCATCTTTGTGTGGGTAGATGAAGCCCATGTGGGACACGTCATCTGTCCACACTAGATATCGCTGTTAAAATAGCGCGCATGCCCAAGTTAACACTTGGGCATTTGAACTGGAATTCCATCTATTCATTAATTCGTCAGAAAGAGGAATAAATGAATAGAAATTTCAAACGAATGAACAAAGACCTCTTCGTTCGTTCATTTGGTTTATTACAAAGAGGGAGCTACCGGCTCGCATCTCCCTCCTTGTAATACGTAAAAATAGAATACCTACCCCCTCACCCTGATAATAGTGAGGGTAGAACAATAAAACAAATTACCTGTAAATAAAACAAACTTACCATTTGATGTCTTCTTTTTTATAAAAACCTTATTTTTTCAGCCTCAAAAAAGGCCAAATAAAAATCCATAAAACCTGTCGAACTTTGAAAAATAAAGAAAAAAACAGAGCGCAAAAAAATCCCGACAGTAAAAAAAAATACATCTTCACCCATGGAGGACATGGCGCAGACTGAGCTCCGCAGGGCAGGGAAAGGCAATTAGGCTCAGAGCGCTCTGATTGATGGTTTAAGCCAACAAATCAGAGTGCTCTCACATGTAAATAATAACTGACAGGTAAGTCTCTACATTTACCTGTCACGGCACTCTGATTGGTTGGCTTGAAATCAGATTGCTCTGTCATTTTACACAGCGTGGGAACATTCTTTGGAATTTTCCCATGCTGTGTAATTTGACATATAGCACTCTGATTGGCTGCTTTCAAAAAAGAAAGCAACCAATCAGAGTTACATGCTGCTCATGAGTGTTGGTCAGGGGGGACAATAGGTCCCCCTCCATTTTCATTTAGGGCCCCCACCCGTCATTCATGGGTGGGCGTCGGGGGGGAGGGCAATAGGTCCCCATTTTTATTCAGGGCCCACACCCGCCACTCATGGGTGGGAGCCAGGGGGGAGGGCAATAGGTCCCCCCCATTTTCATTCAGCGAGTAGGGGCAGAATTTACTAATACTAAGTAATCTTTACTTAGTATTAGTGAATTTGGCTGAAAGACTAATTTAGGTCTTTCAGTCTTTTGGTAGATAGCTCCCTAATACCGTGGGAATTAGGGAGTTATCTATTAAGCGGCTGCAAGCATGAATCATATTGGAATTTCATTCATTTATTCAACAAAATTCCAAACTTAACAAAATCCTGAATTGCGTTCTAACACGAATGGAGAAACTGTTCTAATTCTGTAAGGACGCGATTCGGTAGTGACAGGGCTTTCGGGAATACTGACAGGAAGCATCGCAAGATCACAGAGGAAAGGTAAGAATTTTGAGAAAATTTCTCTGACCACAGGAAACGGAGCACACTTTGCTCCTTCGCTGGTCAGAGATGGTCAAGCGTAGGAAATCTCCATAAGACAAAATAGTCCCTACTTTGTCTTATGTTTTAAAGAAAACTAGAACAAACAGGAAGAAATGAAGAACAGATCCTGAGAGAGAAAGAGAAGTCGATTGGGGAAAGGTAAGTTCGGCATGACAGTTCCGCTTTAAAGGGTTTTGGTCTAATAGAACACCTTCAAACATTTCTATAGCCAAAAATGTGGATGTGTGGGAATTCCGTACAAAGATTTCCTTGTACAAGTTATTTGCAGCCATTACTAGCAGAAGACTAGTTATCATGTTGAAAAGATACATGTTTTGATTGGTGGAACTCATGATGTCTCATGATTTCGATTTTCTTTTAAAGCCAGTCTATAAAAAGACCCTTAAGATTATCACCTACATGACAGGTTTGTTTCTCCAGCTTTTTTTCATGTTGAAAGGCTCCTAAAAATATTACTTTATCTTCTCTTTCTTACCACAGCAGAACCCACAAGACAGACGACAACAAAAAGAAGGAAAAGGAAAAATTCAACAAGCAGCACCTCAAACAGCAACGCTGGAAACAATGCAAACAGCGCATACAGCAAGAAAAAAGTACCAGCAGCGAGTCTCAATCTGTCCAGTCAAGTTCCTGTACGTTCCACAATTTAGATTTTTTTACTTCAAGGGGATAGATAATCTTCATAATGGCGGTCTTTCTATTTCATTAAATATAAGATGAATTAGTCTGAGTATAATGAACAGTTGCTCAAATTATCTTTGTTTTAAGCTGCAGTACCAACCTGAGATTTGGCCAAAAGTCCAAAGTATTTGATAAATCTAGCAGTAACAAGAGCCGAGTTGGACAATTCTACTATTGTGATTAATTATCCAAATGCTATATTTTGCTTTACATATGAAGCCCTGGGGTATTCTATTAGAAGGGATGCAAGATTGAAGAAATACATGCTAAATGGCCTGGAATGGTTCTTTTTTGGAACCAAGAATTCAATGTGATGCACTTCGGTCAAGGGTCATAAATGCCCACATCTTTTTATCTCTTATTAATCGTACAATTCCTATAGATCTTGGGCAGCCTCTTGCTTCTTATGGACACACAGAGTAGGACCTTGTTTAAAAAGGGACACTCCAGGCATCCAGACCGCTTTTGCCCATTGGATTGGTCAGGGTGCCAACTCCCATCACCCATAACCCTGCAAGTGTAATTATTGCAGTTTTTATAAACTGCAATAATACCCTTGCAGGGTTAAGTCCTCCTCTAGTGGCTATCTATCAGACAGCCACTAGAGGGACTTCTGGGTTCTTAAACAACTTTTTGGTTGCTTAAACGTTGCTGGACGTCCTCACGCTTTGCCTGAGGACCTCCAGCATCTCCGGAATCCCCATAGGAAAGCATTGTATAGGGAGTTATCTACTAATAATTAAATAATGCTTCCCTATGGGGAGGTCTAATGCGTGCGTGCGGCTATTGCCGTGCATGTGCATTAGGTCTCCCCTGCTGGCAGTCTTCAGCAGGGAAGGAGTGTGGGCGGAGCCTGACCCAGCACCGAGGGACATTGACGCTGGATTGAGGTAAGTGTCTGAAGTAGTTTTAACCTCTTCAGCAACATGGGATAAGGGGCAGGAGAGGGGCACTCCAGGATTCTCTAGTGCCAGGAACATGGGTTTGATTTCCTGGCACTGGAGAGTCCCTTTTACTATAGATAATGTGAGTTGAAGATGGGCAACAGCTATTGATTGACTATTCTGTGTTTAGATAATGAACAATACAGCATGCAATTGAGTACAAAACCTGCCTAGTTTTTTTTACTCTGTACCATACCCACATTAATCCATGCTCAACTCCAACTCAGTTATGACCCACTCAAATGTATTGTGCAAATCCATTTCCTTAATAGTACCACTAGAGGGCACACACACCATAAGTGTAGAATTGCACCTCTCATCACTTCAATTTTTGCAAATGCTTATTATACCCAACAACTGTCAGGATAAGAAAACCTGTATTGATTTTACTATAAACTTGTTTTTGGAGGGTGATAATAATGGGGTTGAATATAACTGTTCATGGTTAATTCAGGTATAAATATTAATAATTGCATAAAATGCCTTAATTAAATTACATTTTTAAATTAAGAAATTTTCCTTGTACATCAATGAATGCTATAACTTTATAAAGAGAATTAACTGTATTTATAGCATTTTTTTTCTTTCCATATATTTTTTTCTTAACAAATCCTACTTGTATTTGCAGTTCATCACTACAAAAAAATTCATAGGAGATAAGACACGAGTGAGGAGGAATTATCGTGGAATACGAAACGGTTTGGTAAGTAATGGGCCCAGGCAGAATCAAGGGCCTGTTATACCAAACCAGTCACTATTCCATGATAATTCCCTGAAATCAGGGCCCATACTGCTGATACAATATCACATATTACATGTGTTTTAATATTATTTTAAAAATAGTAATACAGCAGTCAAATTATCATGGAATACAGACTGGGTTTTTATATAAATGTTAATTAGTAAAAGGTATATATGTAATAATTGTAATGTATTAAACACTTGCTCACCTATTTTGCTACAGCAACATAGAAATGTTACTGTATCAATTAATTTGCAGGAGAGAATGATATATACTTGTTTAACCTTGACTCCTTAATTCAGATGGCCATTCTCAGATGAGATGCTTCTGCTCTGAATCTTCGAAGTACCAGTAGTATCTGTGCCTGCAGCAACTGGTACATATTCTGTACCAATTCCTTAAAAAGGCATTTCTAACCATGCCAACAAACTGACAGACTGGTTCGCTAGAGTGAGTTGATAGGAATCCAAAGGGAATTTTCAGATTCTAGTTTGAAAAAAAGCTGAAGTGGAAAAGAAATCATCTGTATTTTCAGTTTTGCCTTTTATTATAAAGATCCGGGTAGCATGCCAAAATCTCAGTGTTCCTGTCACTGACCTTCTGGATTCTTGACTTGTTCTTTTTTATTTTTTTCTTAATTGTTTTTTCCTGATCTGTGCTCATTTGTCACTTGTCTTGTTTCCAGTGGGTAGCTATTTATTTCACGAGTACTCTTGACTGACTGCCTAAATTAGCTTTAGTTCCTAAGCAATCACTCTCAGCAAGTATGATAGGCAGACTTTAATATCACTAATGGATGATGATTCTCTAAGGGATCTTAAAGGATGCTCTGAACTGATGGTAGTACTTGTAGAATATTCATACATAATTCTAGATGTTCTAGAATTCTAGATCGTTTCATAATTCTAGAGGTGAATAGACCCAATGAAGATCTGGTAAATAATCAAAACAAAAGCACCCCTAGGATAGCTGCATTAGACAAACCCGTTCCATTTGAAATGATTATTTTTCTAAATGGAAACACAAATTCTTCTGTCATATTCTCTGGATTTTATATATTTTGTCTCTACTAGTTGATTGATATTTTTTAATAACTGTAACGATATAATGTGTATGTAGGGAGTACCCAGCCAGCACGATTGTAAAGGCACAGTGTAATATTTGGCTGGATAATTGGATAGCCATATGTAAGGGCAGAGTGTGTATATTATTATGACATGTGGGACAATAGGAATGATAACATTATACATGTCTATGGTGTAATATCAGAGGATACACAGTACAGTGATATGGATAATACATAGGGGAAATGTGTCACATCATAATGACTATGAGACTGAAACATAAATAGTCACTATGATATCAAGTGAAATAAATAGGAAGAACATTACTGATGAAAAGACGTTAGATATGTAGGACTAACAGACATACAGTTTCTTCATAGCCATGCACCCAGGCACCCCTAATAAGTAGCCTAATTGTCACACTGGTCCTCTAACGTGGTTATGCACTTAAGTGAGAATTCCAAGAATTTTAACTCATACAGGCTGTAAGAGTCCCAACCTGGAGAGGTGTGGCAAGAGTTATATGAAACAAACGTGACGTAAGCTGGGAGACAACAAAACTTCAACATTATGCTAGATATGTTTTGATAGTATCCCTTTAACCCTGCAATGTAAATAAACATAGTAGTTTCTCAAAAACTACAATGTTTTACATTGCAGGGTTAAGAGGACAGAGACACTGCTCCAAGACCACTATACTGAGATGGTGTTCCTTTAATGCCAAAATTGCCAAACTAAAAATACTCTCCAGTTCAGTTCCTTTGGCCTTAAATGTGAATTCACTTTGTGAGTAAACCTGTAAGTCTTTCTGGACACTGTTACTTGAGTTTGGATTAACGTTTAATGTTTTTGAAAAAAGAACCACAAATACCATGGAATACACCTTGTGCAGAAAATTGTAATTTGTACCTAATTTTTTAAATTAGCAATTTTATTTGATAATGTTCTCTGGGTGGATAGCAATAATCTATGCGGAGCACTTCACAAACAATGTGATACTTATCTAATCTACAATTGTCTTCTCATTAGAATTTTACTTTACATTTACTCCTGAAACAGCAGGAGGTTTGGAGTTATTAACCCACGTGAATTTACTGTACGTACATGTAAAAAAGAATATACTAAAATGCGAAGTGTATTTATTTTTGTTTTGCAGAATCAGGGCTAGAACTGCACAAATGTGATTAGAATAAAATAAATGTTTTTTGCAACAGATGGTAGACGGGTCCCCATTACGAGCTCAATGGTATAAGTTTAGCCACATTCCACGTGAAACAGCAGATGGTAAAGAAGGTGCCTATTTTCAATCAGACGTGTTTTTATTTGCTAATTACTTAATTAGTTATGGAAATTAAAAAATCTGTTTGAAAATTGTGGCTCTAATTCATTTTAATTAATTACTTAATTGAATAACAGTAGGTTGGGCTTGATATTGGCTAATGAGGGGTGAGTGTCTGACAGGGAGAATATTAGCAAAGATAAAGTGGAATTAATTCAATCTGAGAGACGTTAAACTCAGTTATTATATATTTTAATATAGTCCTTTATTTTTAAGTAGATCATGTTTTCAAATTTCAGTGGGTGATGTCTGGCCATGTATTTAAAGTTAGAATGGATGGAGTGACTGGCAATTAGCAGTGTGGGGCCATGTGCCAAACTGCTCAAGATTTGTATAAGAAGCAGTCCTGATGGTGCTGATGTTTGCATTCATTCACTCCTTTTCTCAAGACTGAGATACCAGGAATGGAGCAGGGGAGACATAGATACAGTGTTGGTCTCTCTCCCAGCTCTGCTATTACAATATCATTAAAGAGAGAAAGCCCAAAATGAATGCCAGCATCTCCATCTCTGTTAATAGCATACACCAGGCAACCTTCGGCACTCCAGATGTTATTGACTACATTTACCATAATGCTCTTACAGCCATGAGGATGGCAAAGCATCATGGGAGATGTAGTCCACAACATCTAGAGTGCAGAAGGTTTCCAACCTCCTATGTGTGATTAAAGTTCAATTAGCAGAACTTAAGTTAACACACTATGCTGTAAAATAGAACTTTTTTTTCCCCAACGGAAGTTGTGTGTGTCACAGACAGGGGTGTTGTAGCTAGGGCTGCATGAACACAGTGATTTAAAGAACAACTGTCACCTTAGAAATATATCATCTTTTTATCAAGTATTAAAAGGAAATAGTTTATTTTTTAAATGTAGTAAAATGAGAAAAACACATCCCTACCTTTAGTACATAACAGATTCATTCAGCAATATACATGCACCTTTGGTCAGACAGTGTTTCATTCAGCAATATACATGCACCAGTGGTCTTCCCTGCTTCCCTTCTTGCACAGACACAGGGAAGACCATAGAGTCTTTAAACTCTCTCTGACCCAAGGTGGATGTATTTGGCTGAAGTATACTAAAGGTAGGGATGAGGCTTTCTCATTTTGCTACTTGATAAAAGGGTTAAATAAAAAAATGTTCTGAGGTAACAGTTATCTTGTATCTCCTAAATGACATAGAATTGAGCAGTGAGGCTGCAGGTGCGTGAATAAGCTAAAGCTGTTCTGATGCCTAGAGTATGCCTTTAATTATAAGTGCCATGTAAAAGATACACAATGCTGAAGATACATAACACCATCAAAATCCATTTATTGCTTTTATTTTTCCATAGAACATGTTTCACTGGACTTCCAGAATAGAGCCAAGAAACATGAGAAGTTAAAGGACAATGGGGAATGAATATTCTTATTCTGTAAACATGGTTTATTTTAATGAATGAACAAGGTTTATTTTAATGAATATTCACACGTATTTTTAGCATAGAGCATAACATTCCCATTTTGTTTCACTGAGCCTACCATTGTTCTTTTAGATATTCCACACACTC